TTACTAAGGCAACCCTTTCCTACATACACATCATTCTTAGAAAATACAAACTTATCAGAAACAAATACAAGTTTAATACCATTCTTATTCAATAGAGATTCAGACACTAAGTTCTTGCAAATATCAAGCACATGGAGCACATCATTTAGTGTCACTATACACATTATACAGTGTAACAATTGCCCTTGAATATTTTGTTTTTACCTTTTCCTTGTTTAGCAGTTCTTTCTTCTAAATATTTCTGCTTCTTTGACCTTGATCCCTATTCGATTTGCCCTAAAGACCATCATAGGATTACTGCCAAGTTTTTTTCCTTCAGAAATCTTATTATCTTCCTCTAACCTCAATCTCATGATCAGATCTTCAAGTGATAATTCTTTGAGCTTATGTTTGAGATAATTTTTGAAATCTTTCCAAGGTGATGGTAGTTTTTCTATAAAAGCAGCAACTTGAAAATACTCACTAAGGAACATCCCTTCGACATGAATTTCATGCACAATCACTTGAACTTCTTCAACTTGACTCACCACAGATTTAGATTACTGCATTTTGAAGTCCAAAAACCTGCCAACTATAAAATTCTTTAAGGTAACATCCTCAATTCCGTACTTCTTGTCTAGACTATCCCATAATTCCTTACTTGTCTTGAAGGCACTATACACATTATACAGTGTTTTGTCTAGTTCATTGAGAATATAATTTCGGCATAGCAAGTCAGAATGCTTCCAAGCATCAATCGCGACAGCCTTCTCCTTATCAAGTTGTTCTCCTTCTTCCAACTTGGGAGCATCTTCTTTGAGAAAACATGCCAGACTCAAGGTTGTCAAATAAAACAACATCTTCTGTTGCCAACGCTTAAAATCATTCCCATTAAATTTTTCGGGTTTCTCAGCATGCATTGGAACATAACCACTAGGATTCACTAAGGTGGTAGTTGCACTTGCCATTTTTGTTACACAAATAGAAAGTTCGATCAATCATAGAGATCAAACTTTGATTGCACAAAAAGCAGTATATAAAACAGAAAAATAAAATATACTAAACACATTCAAAACACAAATTGTCTTAAGATTATTGTTGAAGACAATGGGTGAAACAAAAATCACCAAAAGAATTAAATCCATATATGATACCAGAGTTAAGAAATTAATCCTATAATCAAAGCACAATAATAAACAAGAACAAATTCATAGTATGCACGAATAAGATGTCAGTATGCATAGAAAGATGAAAAATCCGAGCCTAACAGTGTTGTCTCCTGAAGACAATTTGTTCCCTCACAATTGATGTCGAAGGTTGATGAACAATTGTCTCACAGGATAGAACATATTCACGTCTCCGGAATGATGACACTATCAATCGAAAGTCCAAACGAACACAACTGAATGTCAAATAGAATCACACTTTTCCTAAGCCTAAGGCAGTATGCACTATGGATGCAATGCAGAGGGATAACTTAGAAAAAACTCGACAGAGTAAGGACAGAAAAAAAATACGAATAATTTTCTGTTGGTATCAACTTCTATATATAGACACCGGAAAGACACGATGAATCACAGCCGGCAAACCGTCGCGACTAATGGTGGCGAATCAATAGGTTCGAAATTAATCGAACGCACTGGTTCGGTTCAAAATGAAACCGAAAGGAAAGAACAGGTTTGGTTCAAAAATCGACAGGAAGCAATGTTTTGGTTTGTAAAAATCTGGAGGGAAGAACAGATAGGACGAGTATTTAAGACAAAAAATAATAAAATAATTTAATAAAAAATTATTTTTATTTTTGTCACACACACATACGACTGACCGATCGAGCCGAGCCGAGCAAGACGGCGGCACGCGCGCATGGTGGACCAATGCCCACCTAAATCCTCTCTCCTCCACAAAATGTGGGAGCTTGTAAACCTTTTCATCTCTTACTAGTTGTCAAATGTGGATCTTCTTAGTTTATAACTCACACACACCTTTTCATCTTCCCTTTTTCTTTTTCTTCTAAACCATTTTTTATTCATAACTCATAAAATTTTAGACACAAATTCTAACAATTGTAAATATAATCTCCCTAATCTCTTAAATATTTAAATTGTTATTGCATTGTTCCTCCAAAAATTTTGTCGCCAAATCAGTTTTTTAAAATTTAAAATGTCATCATATTTATCTTTATTAACTTGGGGAGGGTTTAGTATTTTAAGAAACTAACTTAGTAAAATAATTTTTAAAAGACTAATATGATACCAAATTGAAGATTTACACCAAATTTTAATTGTGTTGATTTTATGAATTTTTTTTTACGAGAGCCAGACGTGGATGAATAATTTAGTTTTCACTTAAACAAGAATAATCTCATGGGTTGACATATTTCTCCGGACAAACAGACATTTGCATGCGCTTTAACAATTGTGATTTGTGCATGCAAATTAAAATTGAAAATATTAAATCCTAGTAAAAAAGTATTAATTATTTTAAACTTACAAACATTATTAATTTCCACACCTTTATCTACCAATGACATTTCCTGTCTACGTAGAGTCGCTGTTCAAAATAAATATCATTATTTCATGTCTCTTTTATATATCAAACTAACTAATCAATCATTATTACCAAAAAGAGACATAAATGTAGACACTATAATTTGTATATTAGTGATGTGATTCTCCTCTATAAATATGAAAGATATTTTGTTCTGTTTTTTTTCTTTCTTAAAACGATTTTGTAGATTAGTTAATGAAATAAATATTTTTTGTGTTTTTTTATTAAAAAAAATATTTCTGCAGTTAATGCAAATAAGTTATCTGCATTATTCCCAAAACGACGTTGTTTTGGTATTGAAATTTTAAAAAATTATAAATATAAAGAATATTATAACCCTAAAATAAATTAAAATTACAAAAACATCATGATTTCTGTCCCAAAATGACGTCGTATTGAGCTTACTGCAGATAACTTGTCTCCAGTAACTGCAGAAAAAACGAACATTTTTTATTTCGAAAATTAAAAGTCAAAATGCAAAATAAAAACAATTAAAATATATTTTCTAAATTTGATTTTAAAAATTAAAAAACAGTTATAATTTTTAGAATTATTTTTTACAAAACAAATATTATCAAACAAGTTGTTTATTTATTTTTTCTGAAAATTTAAATCTATTTTTAAAAACAAACCTCAAACAAGCCCAATTTTGTTCTCTTTTTTTTATTTTTTATCTCAATAATGTAATCAAATCCATATGGATGCAACGTTAGCAAGTAAAAAGGAGGACGTAAAATAATTTATTTACAATGCATTATATAATTACTATAATAAGTTATCTTGATGTCTCCTAAAATTTATGAAAGTTACACAGACATTCTTTTTTTTTTTTGGTATCCTGGATGGGGTTAAAACCCCACCACAGGAGTTACACAGACATTCTATTTAACTTAAAAATAACGCTTTCACCAATGCATTACAAGGAGCAAAAGAATGAATTTAAAGAATTGTATGAATTCAATAAAAATGAATTTAAATAATTGTATGAATTCAATAAAAAATGGTATTTTGTTCTCTTTTTTTTGTAATAGTATTTTGTTCTTTTCTACATTAAACGTAGAAAAATTATCTATATTCACTTTCAAAATTACGTTGTTTTGGGTTGAAAAATTTAAAAATTATAATGAGAAAGACTATTATAACACTGAAATAAATTATAATTACAAAAATACCTTGATTTTTGTCTCATAACGACTTCATTTTTGACTCATTGTAGATAACTTATTTGCCGCAGAAAAAATAAATCCATAAATCCTATCTAATATCTTAATAAGTTGCGGTTGCTTTAATAGTGATGAGTTGAAATTAAATTTGAATATAATATCTAAGATTTTGATTGGTAAAAACTAATATCTAGCACAAGAAAAATTATTCCCTCATTTATGTTAGCTCCTTCATTAGTCATATATATTTTTCTAAAGATAAAAAAATTAGTTCAATACCAAATAATGATAGCTCAGTTGACATATGAAAACTAAGGATGTGAAGGTGAGAATATGTATTCAATCCTTCACAATATTATTTTTAGGAAGATTTAAAGTCATAATCCGGACCTGCCCCAAATAAGATTGCCTCCCATAAAAAATATTGCCATTTATAAAAAAAAAATAGTTCAATCATTGAGAACTTGAGCCTAAAGTAATGAAATGATTGCCTTTAACTTTTATTCTTTGTAAACATTAACGTAATTATGGAGAATTTATTCAGCATACCGTTGCATTGGATTTTCAGTGCTAATTCCAATTTTATTTTAATACCAAGTAAGAAAGTAATTTGACAAAAATAAAACATGTATCATATTATATTGTAAAAATAAAAAAAAAAGTAACACCAAAAATTCAGTGCAACTGAATTTTGCAATTATGTATGAAAATTGAGAAATGTTATAGTTACTACCTTTTTATCTTACTACTTGTTACTACCAAATCTTAACCGTTGATTTCTGCCAATCTAACGGTTATAATTTATTGGGTCATATTTATTAATTAATTATTAATTCTAATAAATTATAACCATTAGATTGACGGAAATCAATAGTTAAGATTTGGTAGTAACAAATAGTAAGATAAAAAGTAGTAACTATAACCTCTCCCATAAAAATTTATCCACCGTGTTCTACAGCTAAAACTTTTTAATATTATCCAAGAAAAACTTTTTAATATTATTTCCCAAAAAAAGAAGAAGACAAAATTGATTCCACCAAAAAAAAGGAGGGCAGCATTGGAATCGAATCTGGTTTCACGCGGGATCCAAAGTAACTAATTTTTAAATGCTAAAACCAGAAAATTGTATTTATGTTTTTTTATTTTATTTTCCTTTTTGTGTCCTTTTCCATTTCCATTTTTTAATAACATATATTATATATTTTTTGTTTCTTTAAAAAAAGAAAAAGAATTTGTTTGCAAATTTGGCATAAAAAGGAAATGCCATGTAATGTTTATGTTAGACACAGAAACAGAGCTTCAGAGAGAAAATCACGCGCACAAATCGTCCCTTCTGAGTTTCTCACCGGAGAACCATTACCATTTCCATTGCACCCCGAAATTGCTGCTCTCTCTCTCTCTCTCTCTCTCTAGGGTTTCGCGGGATCAGAATCCTTTTCTGAGAACGACTATTTATTACGCGGTAATCCGAATTCTCAGCTTTTTCCTAGAAACGCAATTCTTTGGCCTTACTTTCTGATTTTCCCTTCCATCCTCACTGTTCCTAAAATTCTTTTGCTTCTGCCACCGCATGACATCGATTTTACGGTTTTTGCTTTGGAAATGCTTGAAGCCGAGGAATTGAGGTACCCAGAGGAAAGCCTTTCTTCTTTTTCATGTGAGCTTTTGAGAGAGAATTTGAATACCTGTCATGGAAAATGGGTCATTTGCAAAATTTGAAATTGCAGGAAAACGAGATTAACTTTTTTTTTTTGCCTTTATCATTTGGGGGATTTTGTTTTTTGATGCAGATTTCTTGCAATTGGATATTTGTTTTTGGGGATTTGAAGCGAACTGTTAGAGAATGTATAGAAGGATGATTTGTTAATCATTGAGGTGAGGAAATGGATTCTGCGAGGAGTTGGCTTCAGAAGTTCCAGCCTCGGGATAAAACGAGGGTAGGTGCAAGGAAGAAGGATGAGGATAGTAATGGAGGAAATCAAGATTCGAATGTACCGATGGATGAAGAATCTCTTTCAAATATCACGAAGCAGAAGGTTGCAGCAGCAAAGCAGTATATTGAAAATCATTACAAGGAGCAAATGAAGAACCTTCAGGAAAGGAAGGAGCGGTATGATTCATTTTATCTATTTATGCTTGTGATAATTATTTTTTATATATGATGAGACATCAAGTGATGACACTCACTTGTCTTCGAACCACTTCATACATTTAGATTTTTGTTTCGTGTTTTACATCATTTTTTTACTTCAGTTCTATAATCTTCTGGTAATTGGTTTTTAGTGTTACAATTGGAATATTTCATTACCATATTATGGTTCACATGGATACAAGCTATACTTGGAGAGATGTTAAATTTGGTACTTGGCTCAGTTGGCTGTATTGGTTTAGCTGGGATTTCCCTAGAACCCTGGGTGAATATTCAAATGGAGTGTGAGTTTGAAAATTGAAACTCATTTTGAGTTCAGTCTTATAAGATCATTTGTGTTTGTAACTCTAATTTGGAGGGCATTGTTATTTTTTCACACATGAGGTTTGGATTTTTTTTTTTGGAGGACTATCCAAAGAAAGAGCAAGTTACTGTGGTTTTATTTTATTTTTTATTTGATTTTTTTTAGCAAGCTGGTAATGTGCACATGCATCTACTGGGTTTAAAGATATCCCTCTCTTCTGTTCTCAAGGGGAAGAACTAAGGGGGTTTCATGAGATCCAAGGTCATTGCCTCATATCACAAGCTTTGGTTCTGTGGAAGCTGTTTTGGATCTGTCCCTGGCCCCACACATCCCTATGCTTCATTTATAAACATAAGACAAAACAGTATCCCCAACCATATTCATGCATTAAATGGACCCCATCACCTAAAATGATGATTCTAGTATCAAACACAACATCCCCAGTCTCGGTATAACCCTCATTCTCGGGACTTACCACATAAGTTACTCCTCCAACACTCACTATATAAGACACCTCACATGCACATACAAAGGTTTGAACAACTGATACCCTAAATACTCGTTTCAGAAGTCTGTGTCTTTCTTTCTCATGAATATCACTACCTTAAGCACTGATACATAGCTCTTACAAAGATATTGATTCTCCATATCAGGATTCTTAAGGTGATACGATAGATATATCTATAGTCAATCCCGTCATTGGTTGTACATTTGAGCCTCATTAATACACCCAAGAACAGAAGCTAAAAAGTTTTAATATTTAGTGGGTTGGAAATGTATTACTATGGGAGATGGATTCCACTCTTAATTTTTTGTTGAGGTGCATCCAAAGATGGCTATAGTGATAATTATTTATTCCATTCATGACTTGAGTGAAGAATGTAAAAATTACTGGAACTGGAAGTGTTATCTACTTGTCATTGCTTGAATGTTAATGTGTATGATGTGGTATAATTTTATAACACCTCAATTGCTTATAACAGTCGAACCATCTTGGAAAAGAAGTTGGCTGATGCTGATGTCTCTGAGGAGGATCAAAACAACCTGCTTAAATTTTTAGAGAAAAAGGAAACTGAATATATGCGTCTTCAGAGGCACAAGATGGGTGTTGATGATTTTGAGTTATTGACTATGATTGGCAAAGGTGCATTTGGGGAGGTATGTTTATGATTATATGCGACAGGAATAATGTGAAATGACTGAGTATGCTTTCTTCTTCTAACTTGTGACTTTTATTTTTGTGTAGTTTGAAATATAATGATGGATTGTTTTACAGTGTCTCCGTTCATAAAAATTTAAAATCAAATCAATTTTCTGTGGGCTACTTTGGTGCTTATTATGCATTCTTTTGTACTCTTGATTCATTATATTCATATTATCATTGAAGTGATTTTGAAGAGAGATATACAGAAGAAAACATTTTTACGGGTAATGTGAACAACAAAAGAGCCTAAAGGCATTCCTGATGTTTTTATAATAATTTTTCTTGGGATATCATTATTTTTTCCTTACAGAAGCCAGGGGTATTATGGTGTTATGTAAATAATTTGGGACAATCAGTATTACCACTTAGTAGATGGTCAAGACTACCAACATTCAATTGCTGGTCATAATTTTCAGTTGGATTTCACATTTTAGTATACAATTAATCAAGGAGTCATCTCATCTTTTAATGTATAACCTTGCTGCTCTACTGGAATGGGATTACAATATGTAAAAGGAAAAAAGTTCTTTTCTCTTCTCTCTCTCTCTCTGTCTTTTTCAATAAAGCAACTCCAAATACATCTAGCTCAGCTGTGCTGAAGAGGCTTATGCAAACATAATAAAAAGCTGATTTCTACCTGAAAAAAGTGGAAATTAAGTTTAAGATTGTATTTGCTGAAACACCCTCTTTCTTGAACCACAAGTTCATACTAAGATTTTTTGTGTAAAAGCTGACAGAATTACCCCACTATTCCCCCGCCGCCCCTACTTGTCTTTGTCTGCCAACAGTTTGACTCTACCTAAAATTTGAATTTGTTGCAGGTCAGAGTCTGTAGGGAGAAGACTAGTGGTCATGTATATGCAATGAAAAAGCTAAAGAAATCAGAGATGCTTCGCAGAGGCCAGGTTTACAGTCATTTGTCTTGCTATATTATATTAATCCAGAGAAGAGCAGTTTTTATGCCTAAGTTTAATGAAATTATCATACTTATTCCCTGTTTTCTAATTTTTTTCAGGTTGAACATGTCAAAGCTGAAAGGAATCTCCTCGCAGAGGTTGACAGCAATTGCATAGTCAAACTGTATTGTTCTTTCCAGGATGATGAGTATCTGTATCTTATTATGGAGTACCTACCGGGTGGGGATATGATGACTCTACTTATGAGAAAGGATACCTTGACAGAAGATGAGACCAGATTTTATGTAGGAGAAACAGTTCTGGCTATTGAATCTATACATAAACACAATTATATACATAGGTATGTATATACTTGTTTATTTACTTTCAGAATATTTCTGTTTCCTCAGTTATTCTACATTCAACTATTTTATGTACGGTGCTTCTTATGGAGCCTTGTATAAACATACTGTTAGAAGTATAAGTCTTGTCATGATTGCTACCAAAATCATTTCAAAAGGATCCAATGCTGAAACCTGTTTGATGTATGAAATCACATTCATCTGTTTGTGTTTTATGTTTGAAACTAAATAAACCTTAGTCAGTTGTACAATAGAAATTTATCTTTTCAATATTTTGTGATATAGGGATATCAAGCCAGACAACTTATTACTTGATAGATATGGACATTTGAGACTGTCCGATTTTGGACTTTGTAAACCATTAGACTGTAGTACACTTGAAGAAAAGGATTTTTCTGTGGGTCAGAATTCGAATGGATCTACACAGAATGACCAAAGTGCAGCTCCAAAACGCACTCAACAAGAACAACTGCAACACTGGCAAATGAACAGGAGGACACTTGTAAGTTCGCTGCTATTTATTATGACATTGCATATAATCGTAAAACTTGATGTAGCGCTGCTCCTTCGAAGCCGGGTTTAAAAACCCTCCTTATTCCCATTGTCCTAGCAGCAATTTCAAGCACAAAATTGAAGTTTTCATCCCCTTTAACCTAATGTATGTTATGCCCATCTTTAGTATGGCAAAACCCTATTGAAACCATTGAGCTTGGAGACATTCGATCACTTCTCTCTCTCTCTCTCTCTGTCTCTCTCCTGTTCCGTCAACCTTATTGCTCACCAGCGTTTTGCAGCCACTGCTTTGTCTTGGTTCTGCAAGTCTCGTCCTACTCTGTTCAGTCTCATCCTGCAATTTTCTGACCACTCCTGTCATGCTCTATTCAGTTCTGACTCATTCTGCTTGTGTATTTTGCCTCCATTCAGTACTTCAGTTTGCACTTTGTTTCTCTGTTCAGTTCAGTATGACATTTATATAGACTTCACTGTAGTGGCTATCCCGCTACCCGCTGTAGTTGTTTTGGGGTCTGTTGCTATGCGACGATATTCGAAATTGATAACAATGATCTAGTGAAATGATGAGTCATGTACTGATAATTTGTACCTATCAAACCCCTCTCTAGCCACTCAACCCAAAATGAAAATAGAAAAAGAAAAAAAATGGCTGGATTCTACTGTTGAGGGTATCTCTATGGAAGGCACCTTTCATTTCTTAATATGTTTAAGATAATGTGTTCCTTTACATTTTTTTGGTGTGTACTTGTAATTGTGAATGTGTAAATGTTGCAGGCTTATTCCACCGTTGGTACACCAGATTATATTGCTCCGGAAGTTCTTTTGAAGAAAGGTTACGGGATGGAATGTGATTGGTGAGTTTTATTAATGTCAATGTTGGCATGTTATCTAATGTTGATTTATTTCTGCTCTGTATGGTGCATTTATATCATAGCATCCGAGTTTATTTTTTCATTTATACTGGGTGATCTTTTCAACAAGTTTCAACCTGGTTTGGCAATCAAATTTCTCATTTCTATACTTGGGATGCTGTTTGGGATAATATCCTCTGTTTTTTATTTCCTGTTCAAATGTTTTGAAAGCATATTGGGTTTTGCTTCATTTATGTGGAATTAATAAACTTTAATTTCAGGGTTATATATTTTATTCTGACAAAACTATGGTTGTTATAAAATTCACAGGTGGTCACTTGGAGCTATTATGTATGAAATGTTGGTGGGATATCCACCTTTTTATTCTGATGATCCAATGTCAACATGTAGGAAGGTAGTCTTTCTGATAGAAATGTTTCTTGAGACTAATGTTTGTTTGACATTATGACTTTGGCAGTTTGCCTTTGATTTTTAAATATCAGTTATCCTATCTCTCTCTCTCTCTCTCTCTCTCTCTCTCTCTCTCTCTCTCTCTCTTTCGTAGTTTCTATCAATTGAATCTGAAATATATTGTATATTCAAGTGTGTAAGTCTGTACAAGGAGGCTCTCTATTTATAGAGACTAAAAGACCTAACGGAATGACCTAATGGGCCAAGCCCACAATCTAGACTATTCTAGACTATTCTAATAATAATAAATTAATTAATATTATTTCTAACACTCCCCCTCAAGCTGGTGCGTATATATCAAAAGCTCCCAGCTTGTTACAAATATGATCTATTCGAGGACCTCTAAGAGCTTTAGTGAATACATCCGCAAGTTGATCATTGGAATTGACAAATGCTGTCTCGATCTCCCTTGACTGGATCTTTTCTCTAACAAAATGACAGTCAATTTCTATATGCTTGGTCCTCTCATGAAAGACTGGGTTAGAGGATATATGCAAAGCGGCTTGGTTGTCACAAATGAGCTTCATAGGCCTTTGTTCACAGAGATGGAGTTCCTTCAGCAATTGACTCAGCCAGATGAGCTCACAGGTTGCATTTGCCATTGCCTGATATTCTGCCTCCGCACTGGATCTGGCGACCACAGTTTGCTTCTTACTCTTCCAAGAGATCAAATTTCCTCCGAAGAGAACACAATACCCTGAGGTGGATCGTCTATCTGAAGGAGAACCTGCCCAGTCAGCATCTGAATAACTAGAGATCTCTGAACTCCCTTTATTTGTATATAATAAACCTCTTCCTGGCGCCTTTTTAATATATCGGAGAATTCTAATAACTGCATCCCAATGGGAGTCACAGGGAGAATCAAGAAATTGACTTGCAACACTCACTGCGAAGGAGATATCTGGCCTTGTCACAGTAAGAAAATTCAATTTTCCAACTAATCGGCGGTAGTGACTAGGATCTGGCAGTGGCTCCCCCTGTCCTGGTAATAACTTAACATTGGGGTCCATAGGTGTATCAATGGGTTTACAGCCTAACATGCCAGTCTCATCTAGGATATCCAGTGCATACTTCCTCTGACAGATGGAAATGCCCCGCCTAGACTGTGCAATTTCGATCCCCAAGAAATATCGAAGTCTGCCAAGATCTTTGGTCTGAAATTGATTGAATAAATGCTCTTTCAACTGATCAATCCCGTTCTGATCACTGCCTGTAATGATAATGTCATCAACATAGACCAGGAGATAAACACACTGGCCAGAAGAGCTATGCCGGTAAAAGACAGAATGATCGGCTTTGCTTCTGATTAAGCCAAAGGATTCAACAACTGAACTAAAGCGGCTAAACCAGGCCCGAGGAGATTGCTTCAGGCCATATAAAGATTTCCGAAGTTTACATATCATTCCAGAACTCTCCCCCTGAGTAACAAAACCTGGTGGTTGCTCCATATAAACTTCCTTCTGCAAGTCACCATGTAGAAAAACATTCTTAATATCAAGTTGGAGAAGGGGCCAGTGATGAATGGCGGCAAGGGCAAGAAACAGGCGAACAGAAGCCATCTTAGCAACAGGAGAAAAGGTATCCCCATAATCAAGACCAAAGATCTGTGTGTATCCCTTGGCCACTAAGCGAGCTTTAAGGCGATCAACAGTGCCATCAGGACCAACTTTAACTGTGAACACCCATCGACAACCAACAACAGACTTCCCGGGAGGAGCACGAACAAGATCCCAAGTGCCATTGGAGTGAAGTGCCTGTATTTCATCAAGCATCGCCTGGCGCCACCCTGGATGAGATAGTGCTTCACCTGTGGTTTTAGGGATGGAAACAGAAGAGAGACTAGAAACAAAAGTAAAATGTTGTGAAGAAAGTCTGTCATAACTCAAGAAAGAATAAAGGGGATGAGGATTTCGAGTGGATCGAATACCTTTCCGAAGGGCAATGGGAGGAGTCTCTGATGGAGGATCCGGAGGAGAAGAGCCGACGGGAAAGGGCGATGAGTCATCAAGAGGCAAAGTCGGAGGAGGTGCAGGCTGACGACGCTGGTATGTGAGGAGAGGACGATCTGCAGGTATGGAGGTAATTGGTTGCTCCTCTGGAATAGGGTCACCTGCAGCTGGTAAAGACAAGTCAAGAAAAGGAACAGGGAGGACCTGATCAACTTGGGACACTGGAGACGGAGTAGAGTGAAAAGGCTGCTGATCAAGGAAAGTGACATCAGCAGAAACGATATAACGCTTGAGATCAGGAGAATAGCAACGATACCCTTTTTGAAAACGTGTATACCCAAGGAAAATACACTTGAAGGCCTTGGATGTCAACTTGTCTTTACCTGGAGTAAGATCATGAACAAAACAAGTACAGCCAAAAATATGTAAAGGCAGAGGATAAGAAGGTGCTCCGGAAAACAAAATATTGTGGGGAACATCATTGTTTAGCACAGAAGAGGGCATGCGGTTGATAAGGAAACATGAGGTGATAATAGCATCTGCCCAAAAACGGAGTGGGACGTTCATATGAATGAGAAGGGTACGTGCAGTTTCAACTAGATGTCTATTTTTACGTTCAGCGACTCCATTTTGTTGTGGAGTGTGAGGACAGGTAGTCTGGTGTATCGTCCCTTGTGTATCCAGAAATTTAGAAAATTCAAGAGACACATACTCTTTTGCATTATCACTGCGCAAGATTTGAATAGAAGCACCAAATTGAGTTTTTATTTCTGCACAAAACTTTTGATAAATTGAAAATAACTCAGAACGATTTTTCATTAAATAAACCCAAGTGCAACGGGAGAAATCATCAATAAAGGTGACAAAATACTGAAAACCCAAAACAGACGTTGTTCGACTCGGACCCAAATATCAGAATGAACAATAGAAAAAGGAGCATAAGCTCTTTTATTGACTCTATTAGCAAAGGAGGAGCGAGTGTGTTTTCCTTGCTGACAAGAATGACAGTTTAAAGACTTAAGATTGGATAAAAAGGGAACCATATGCTGAAGCTTGGAGAGGTTTGGATGACCCAGACGGCTGTAAATTAGCTCATGAGACTCTGTGAGAGAACAAGCTACTGGAGAAGGTGGTGCAATCAGATAGTAGAGACCTCGTGACTCAACGCCTGCTCCAATCGTCTTCCCCGTACCCGAATCCTGCATAGAAAAGGATTGTTTAGAGAAGGTAATAGTACATGAAAGAGAATGAATCAACTGGCTAACAGAGATTAAATTAAAAGGAATGCCAGGTATATAATAAACTGAACTCAAAGTTAAAAGAGGAGTTGGTTTGGCTTTCCCAATTCCACGAGCAGGAGCCTTAGTGCCATCAGCAAGAGTGACAGGGGGTAGGTTATTAGAATAAGAAAGTGAAGTGAAGAGATCTTTATTACCACAAATATGATGAGTAGCACCTGAGTCTATTATCCAGGGTCCAAGAGATGATTGATAAAAACAAGGAGGCTCTGATACCAAATTGAATCTGAAATATATTGTATATTCAAGTGTGTAAGTCTGTACAAGGAGGCTCTCTATTTATAGAGACTAAAAGACCTAACGGAATGACCTAATGGGCCAAGCCCACAATCTAGACTATTCTAGACTATTCTAATAATAATAAATAAATTAATATTATTTCTAACACTATCAAAGTCTGCAATTCTAGTTTCAAATTGGTGGCTAGATTGTTTTTATTTCAATAAGTTTTGGTTCATATCTCTGATTTACATTTGAATCAGACTTCTGACATGTTTGTGTTCTTAACTTATATGGACTGGATGTACATGCTACCCAGGATCATACTTCAATAAAAAATTCTATCCTATTAATATATTAATTGCAATTTGTACTAATATATAAGCAGATGGTACCATATCAAATATGGTAGTGTTGGCTGAAAGCACATTTCTTTGGCTGAGTTTGCCGGATAAACTGAAATGCAATAAATATAATACATGTCTTTCTTTTCCTCTTGCCCCTGAGGCTTCTTTCACTGCATCACCTGTTTCCTTCTAGATATTTCTCGTGAACAGCCGAACTCTAATCTAGTTTCTTGTTTGAGACAGCTTGAGCTTTGGCTTTGACAGGCTTGATAATATAGTGGATTGTGACTGATTCATGTTGTACATGATGAATCTGTTACTGACTGTAGCCTTACCTAATTGATTACTGAGAGATAAAAATCAATACTTTTATTCTAAAGAAATGAAAATTGCATTCTTATGTTATGTGCCATACTGCATGTTGTTTGTTATAAGTTGAGTTGTATCAATGGTATGGAAATTGGAAAACGTTGTTGAAATGATAACTATGCATTGACGCTAACTATCTCATTCAAGATTTCTATTCATTTGTTAATAATAATAGTTTTTGTGTGTGTGTTTAGCATGTTATGTTTTTACTATTTCATCTAATGTATTTTGATGTAAACATGGATTAGGATTCTCTAAAGTGCTACGTACACTTTACTCTGTAAAGAAAGTGCATAGTGTATCACTGTTGATATTAAAATGTCAATGCTCTATATTTTTATGAATTACAAACAACCTGATAGCAATGGATTTTCAGAAACTGATTCCTTTGATTTTCTCATCAATGGTAATCCATAGTAAAGTGAAACCTGTATTTTAGAGTAGCCAAATCCATAATTTAAAGCACGATAATTTTATCTTTGATTCTCTTTTTTGCAGATAGTGAACTGGAAATCTCATTTAAAATTTCCTGAAGAAGCTAGGCTGTCCCCAGAGGCTAAAGATCTTATTAGTAAACTTCTGTGTAATGTCAACCAGAGGCTGGGTTCAAAAGGAGCAGACGAAATAAAGGTGTTGTACGGTGTGTCCTTTTCTAAATTCTTAGATTTGTTGTATTATATATTTGGATATTGAGTTTACGTTTGTGTTGTATTCCTCTTCAGGCTCATCCATTCTTTGTAGGTGTTGAATGGGATAAGCTATATCAAATGGAAGCTGCATTTACTCCTGAGGTCAATGATGAGTTGGATACTCAGAATTTTGAAAAGTTTGATGAGGTATTTGAGTCTTCATTTTCTTGCTTATTTTGCCGTGTTCAATTTTTCTCATTTTACCTTTTGCATCTGCAGGCTGACAGCCAAACTCAATCATCATCGAGATCTGGTCCATGGAGGAAGGTAATCTTAGGTGGTTCCTTCTATGTTGGAAATAGTCACCAAGTTTTCTGTAGTTTGTTTCTGCATAACCTTTTGGTTGATATGATGATGTAGCATGTTGTTTCTGTTCAATCCTAATATTTTTGCAATATAGGGAACAGGAAAGAAAATCAATTAGTTATCATTGTTTGTAATTTGTACTTCAAATTACTTATCTAGGAATTATGGTATGTCTCTGCTGTTTTGAAAATTAATTTCCTTTGGTTTACATGGCTGTGAGTAGGCTGTTGATATGCCTTTTAGGTTTTAAGAGTTTAATTGGTAGTTGAGAGGTTATAAATCATAGGCAAGGCCATGGTAGTAGGAAATATCTTGCAAGCTACCAAATCGGCTTTGGGCTCCCTATCAGAAGTTTTATTTGTTCCTCGGCATTGCACTTATAATTTCTGAAAATTTGGAATATAACAAGACTGCATTTTCCCCTGAATTCTTAGGAAGCTAAGATATGGCTCAACTTAGTGTGTATCTGTTGGGCTTGATAAAATGTTCTTGCGAGTTAGCAATAACTTATGACTTAGGGTCGTTTATGTTTGCTTGAATCTCAAATATATGATTTTATACTCGAGGGAATTCTTGTCAGCCCTTAATTAAAAGCTTAGTAGTGATTAACTAGCCATTAGCAGTGGCCAATGGACATGTCTTTCTCAAGATCCAATTGTTGGTTATCTTGTTCATAACCTGAAATCTGTGACAAATTTTTTAAATATTTTTCCCGTTGTTTTATAGTTCTCAATCATCGAATTTTCATTTTGTTACATCTGTTCTCCCACCCTATCCATTTCCTTTTTCTTATCCCTCTTTTGTTGTTTGTTTTGTGGGGATGTTACAGATGCTTTCATCTAAGGACTTGAATTTTGTTGGATACACATACAAGAACTTTGAAATTGTCAACGACTATCAAGTACCTGGGATGGGTACATCTCTTTTTTCTCATGCTTAAAAATTTATGTTAATATCTCTGTTACACGGTTCTAATTTGGCTATGGTTGTGGCTATAATGCTTGTTTGACAGATATGTCTTTTATTGTAAGAGGGATATTTGTAATTATGTGGCGTTACGACTACGGAACTCTTTGTGAAGATATTTCCAACTTAGATACATTAACCAAAGGAGTGATTGATTAAGTCGGTAAATGCACAATGCACTAACAAATATTAACATTGTTATTGGTTAATGTCCCTCAAGAGGAATTATTTTACCAAGATTTCCTAAATTTCTAAATCACGATTCTTCCTTTATTTTTCCATATACTGATATAAAGATCAATTTAAAATATCATTTTCTGTGTAGCAACCTTAACTATAGTTCTATCAGGTTCAACTTCCTTATATTTTTCTCATTTTCTTTACTAGAGTCAGCACGTAAAAAAGATCATAGCCCATGCTCTCTCTTTCTCTCTCTATATGAAATGTACTTTATGTTTTTGAGATAAAAATATATTAATAAGAGAAAATAAGATTACAAAGCTGGAAGACCAGGAGTCCTCCTAACAGGAACAGAAATATAGCTGTTAAACCAAAATGACATGCAAATAGGGACAAGTTAATCTAAAGGCATAAACTTTATGGGCTAAACTTGGTCCAGATGAAGAGACTTGGCTGATCTTGTGATAATAATCTTGGGATATATTACCCTAAAAGCTAGCTCAAAGAATAGTAGTGCCTAAGGCTTTATAAACCCCACATTACGGGTCCTAACATCTTGCATATGATTCTTTCCATCTTCTGTGGTTGGAAGGCCAAGATAGATTATTGGAACAACATATCAAACCAAAGTTTCACATCAATGAGGTGGCATGTCTTTTCAGGCAGGGAATGTGGAACATAAATTGGTGGGATTATGTTGAAAAGAAAAATCTTTGGATATTTGTTTTGGTCTGTGTGCTGATTTGTATTTTACATTTAAGAATATTGAGGAAGTTCGTGAGTATTGTTCTTTTGTGTTGACTTTTGCCATCCTCTTGCCTTGCAGCTGAACTGAAGAAGAAAAACTCCAAACCGAAGAGGCCATCCATCAAGTCGCTTTTTGGTAGGCTTTTACTTCTTTGCCACCATTTGATTCCTTCGAACTGTTTTCCTAAGTTTGAGTTGTTCATTGTATACCTTTCTGTCTCTTACACTTGACCATAAATCTTTTCATCTGACCAAACTGGCTGACATATGACAGAATGCGAGTCGGAGACATTAGAGGTGTCTGAGGTTCCTGATACGTCTGGAAGCAATCAATCTGGTCAAGGAAGCTTTTTAAATCTCTTGCCACCCCAATTAGAGGTATCTCAGCCAGAGGAATCTTCCTCCTAAATCCTAACAAGGCAATCTCATGATCCGACAGTGTTGGAACCATAACTAATGCATATAGCATTTTGACTATTTCCATGTTTAAAATATCACCCTTGATGCCTATTCCACGTTTGGATTTGTTCTTGGTTACACTAATGGTTATGAGGAAAGGCAAGAGGAAAGTGCTGTGTCTTGAATCAACTAATTAGCCTCAAGCGCTGGCTTGGACAAGTCTTTTTTGTCAGTCGCCACAACTTTTGAATTGTAAATCAATCACTCTCCGCCGGTTGTCAAATATGCTACACTCTAAACAGATAGCCAATGTCAATGAATGCAGGATAACATTAATATTTGTGTTTTCTTTTATATTAATGATAGCAAAGCATTTATCCCTTTAAAATTGCAGTGTAATGTCTCTGACAAGTTAATTTTGCTTAACGAGTGAATTAATTTTTTATTAATGTAAATAATCTGTAACTTGTTATGGTTAATGTTTGATATTGTTATTACAAATGAAACTCTTCTAAAGCGAGTAGCGTATAAGTAAGTGTGTATTCATTATTGTTTTAATTTAAAATACATCATATATTAACCCACTACGGATGAAATTTTACTAAAGCAAGTTTGTCTCTAGCTGTATAAGTAAGAGTGTATTTTAATAGTTTAATGTACCATATATTTTAAATTAAATTAAAGATAGATATAACTACTGCACTTTTGAGGGTTATTTTCCTATTATTATTGCATGAGTATGGTCTTTGATTGGATATTCAACACTTTTAGTTCTATAACTTTTAGCCAAATTGGTAAGATATTATATTTTCTGGACTAGCTACATTTACACCCCCTACTTTTTTTATTTGAAAAAGTATACTTGTAAGTTGTAATCGTTGTTTTTTTTTTTTTTTTTTTTATCGTTCTTACACTAGACACTTTATTTTGTTTGAAAAAATATATCTTATTTATGATTCTTTCATCATTTTCTCTAGTAAATAAAATAACTAATTGTGTAAGATACAATTAGTCACTTGGTATTGTTGGCAGTTAGGGATGTGCATGGTTCGAATCGAACCGGATTTTTTGAAAAACTGAATTGAATTGGTTTAAATGGTTCGGTTTGAAAATGGTTCGGTTCGGAAGTGGTTCGAAATCGGTTCGGGTCGACCCTTTTTTGAAAAAAAAATGAAAAATTTAAAAAATAAAATTATAAAAATTAGTTTGGTTCGGAAACGATTCGGTTATTAAACCGGTTCTAAAAACCGAATCGGTTCTTAAACCGGGTTTCTAAAAATCGGTTCGGTTCATGAACCGGTTCTTTAAAAACCGGTTTGTTTCATGAACTGATTTTTAAAAACCGGTTATTTTATGGGGCAGGGCAGTTCGGTTCATGGTTTGACCTAATTTTTTGGTTATTTTGCACACCCGTACTGACGGTTGCTAGCTTATGTTTTGCATATGTACATTGTACAAAGATAGAGGTTAATGTTTTTCATATTATATGAGATAAAATTTATTTATTATATACACCTAAAGATATGTGGGGTTCACATGTGAGAATAAGAGTGAAAAAAGAAAATATAAGTTTCACACACTTTTATATATGTATAATAGATATAAATTTATCTTCTATAACACAAAAAACAATAAACCCTTAAAGATAATAACCTCGAATTTCCCAGTTTTCTCTTGCATTTCTATTGTTGTACAAAGAATGAGATAGTTACACTTGTTAAATTAATCCCTTTTTATTTGTTAGAGTCAGTCACAGCAAAATTTATATTTCTTTTTCTTTTCCCAAATCAGACTAATTTAAAGCATACTAAATAGGGTGGTGATAATTGCATAAAGCAACAAATAGTGTGTTAAACAAGAAATTAGGGAGAACTTATGAAAGTTGAGAGAAACAGTGAAACAAAAAATAAATAAGTTATGGGAATTAAATATCTGTGAGATCTTTAAATCCCTTTTTCTACGTAAGCATAATAATCCTACCAAAAAGACGTTGGTGCAAGACGATTCCAAGGAAGAGTGAATAGAATATGCTGTTGAGACTTAAGATTAGTATAGACCTAGATTGGGTTCGGTTTTCTGTAGTAAATGCAATTAAATTATTTATATTGAGCTTAAAATGATATCGTTTTGGACAGAAATTAAGGTATTTTTATAATTATAATTTATTTCAAGGTTATAATAGTCTGTATCATTATAATTTTTAACCCAAAATAATATTATTTTTGAGAGTAGATATAAATAACTTATTTATATTAACTGTAAAAATATTAAAGCTATTTTTATATTAGAAAATATTACTTTTTTTTCAATTCTCACTAAAATTACTTGAACAATATCTGAGTGATACTTTATTTTTCTAGCAATATAAAAATATTAGATAAGTATGGCATTTATTCGAATAGTATCAACATAATTAAATGTATTCGTGTCATTACATTAAGAAAAAAATATATTTTAAAACAAATTTGCAGAAGATTCAACTTTTGTCTCTATTTTCTAGTTGTACATCTAACTGTTTTGGTTTCATATAGATTAGCGCATTCTGTACCAAAAAATATAGGATAATACTTTTCACATATTGCATCAAAAATATATCTCATATCACACATCCATAAAAATTTGTGTCTTCATTTTCTTTCTTTTTTTCTTTTTTCTTTTTAAGTGTGAGACCCATTAAAATTATATTTATGGTAGAAGATTATTATCTCCTGAGACACCATTATCCCAAAAATATATATGGAGAGATTAAACACATTATAACTGGCTGTCTGGCTCCTTTAGCCAAGTTTGAACATTTGTTTTCTTTAAACACACAGCAGTGACACTGATTTTTCTATTTTGTGGACTGGAACGATTCCATGCTTTCCTAATTTTTTTTTTTCCTAAATAAAAAATAATGGTATTCTATATCCAACGAAGCTATTACATTCCATATGAACCAGTCTGAATTTGGAAAATGTCAAAAATGAAACAATAATAATAATAATAATAAGGGATATGTTTTTCTAGAAGAAAAAAATCTCTTTCTACACTAATATAAAAAGTCCTGCTACCAACAAAGTCCAACACAGTTGGTAGATAGCTGGGTTCCTTAAGCATGCTGACAAGGGTTCGATTCCTGGTCGTGCATATAGAAAAGACTTTGTTAAAAGAGGTTTACCCACTTAATGTGATCTCCTGCCTCAGAAGAATTAGTCTTCAACTGTTGTCGGCCGAATGATATATTGAGAAACCAAAAAATAAAAATAAAAAGTTTGGCTAGTTTGTTTTTTTTAGTTAGGTGGATCCCACATTTTGTTGTATATGCAGGAAAGTTGTAAGTTTCTAGTGCAACTGAAGAAACTTATATCCCTAATAATAGGGGAGGATTATAGTTATAAATTTTTTTGTTTAAAAACTCTTACAAACTACACTATATATTTTTGAAAATATACTATGTACTTCCGAGAATACATAATGTAATAATAGGGGAGGATTATATTTATAAATTTTTTTGTTTTAAAACTCTTACAAATTACACTATATATTTTTAAAAATATACTATGTACTTCCAAAAATATATAATATAATTTATAAAAATTTATAAAAAAAATTTATAAACGAATCTTTCCTGTTAACCAATAATAATACACGGTGATACATGGAACCAGCCCTAGATTCGGATACCAATTTTCTTTTCATGTGCCGTATCTTTTAAGCATATTAGCAACAAAACAAAGTCTAAACTACTGACCCCCCACAATTGTACACAACTACACACTACCTACGTACAAGTCGGCAAGCTTACAAATCAACCAACATTAACTATAACTATATGTTCTTTGTTGATCAAGAGAGGTACACTAATAAAAATTGTCCAATAAGCTTTGTATATTAAACTGTCATTGTGGCTTTGTAAAAAAAACTTGGACGGTCGTTCCATGCCCCAACAGCCATAATAAAATAACCATATAGGCATCACTTTCACCTGAAAGGTGCTCTAATAACTGAATTAATTAATATGTTGCTATCAGTTATTAATCAAAGGTTACTCGTACAGAAGGGGTTAGTTAACCTAGTAGTTAAATATGTATGCCCAATATCTTAACTACTCAAATTTTTGTCATTACTCTAAATAATTAATATTAGTATATCCTACCCTTAAAAGATTCAGAAAATTTTAAACATTAAGAAAGTAAAATGGAGGAGCCAAATCTTTTGCAATAAGTTTATAGAATTAACCAATATTATTAAACTCGAACCGATAATTGAACCGATTAAGATATTGGGTTAATAAGTTACTGGTTCAACTAATGGATTATTAGTTCAACATGTTAAACTAAAATTATATTTTAATATGAAATAAATAAAATGATTGTAGCAAAATGAATAATGTAACATCTCGGGCGTTGATGAGGGCAGGGAGTGATCATCGGTGCGAAAGGGCATGGACAAGGAGCGGCTCTTGGCAGGCTTCCAGCGATGGGGTACATGAATGAATCGAATCAATACCCGAAAGAAAGGAATTCCAGAGGCTGTGCTGGTATGGGACAGTACAGTTGGGAATAACTTATAAGAATTAATTGGTACTACCTATACTAACAAGATGCATCTACTTTTCGGTAGCCCGGAACGGAAGAACTCCATAGTTAAGCGTGCTTGACTTGGGGCAATTATGGGATGGGTGACCTCCTGGGAAGTTTTCCCGGGAAGTGTGCGAATGAGGACAAAGCATGCTGAAAAGTCTCGTGTTAGTGTGTGCGGACAGTCGTTGATCCTTGCAAGTTGCCAGACGTTACAAGTAGTATCAGAGCAGGGCCTCTCTTCCAGTACGGTGTGGTTCGAGGATGAACCAGACATAAGCTGGTGGGCATGTAACATCCCGGGCGTTGACTAGGGCCGAGAGTGATCGCCGGTGCGAAAGGGCATGGACAAGGAGCGGCTCCTGGCAAGCTTACAGCGACGAGTGTACATGAATACTTGAAAGAAAAGGGTATTTGAAATATTATTGAATTCTGTATAATCTGTACAAAGGGTTCTCTATTTATAGAGAATACTTGACCTAATTTTGACCTAATGGGCTTGGCCCAATACAATTACTTACAACACTCCCCCTCAAGCTGAGGAATAAATATTTATCATTCCCAGCTTGCTAGTAAGTTCTTGAAATCTGTCTGAAGGAAGCCCCTTTGTTAATAGATCAGCTAATTGACGCCCAGTGGGAATGTATGGAGTGGTAATTAACCCGCTATCAAGTTTCTCTTTGATGAAATGGCGGTCGACCTCAATATGTTTAGTCTGATCATGTTGAACTGGATTATGAGCTATACAAATAGCGGACTTATTATCACATAGCAGCTTCATAGGTCCCTCACATTTTATTTTGAGATCATCAAGTACAATTTTCAGCCACAGTAACTCACAAAT